AAACTGTAATAAAATAACGGTATTAAAAACATGGGGTGTGCATCGCTGTATCGGGGCATTCATGAATTCACAGAGAAAGATGAGTATTCAGCAACCCTCGGTCGCGACTTTTATCTCCGCGAAATCAACTCGCGTAGCAATCGACGAAAGTCCCCGCGGTAGCGCGGCGCGCTTCGTAAAATATTCTCTGCTGACTTCGCCGTCGCGTGTCCTAGTCACGTGAACCGCCCAAGGCCGGTGGTTCGACGAGGACGGACCGGTAGACGAGCAACAGCCAGCGACCAGCCGACTTTGCAAAGTAAAGCGCGTGCACCGAAGTACGGGCCACGTGCCGAACGTATTTCGATCTGACTGGCAAAAGAGGAAAGAGGACAAAGTGGGGGCGGAGGCGTCGCGACGACGGGCAACACAACCACACCCTGTGAAGGGCCCCCGCTGGATCGATAGTCACTACCCCGCTAGAGCAGAGAGCGCGCGAGAGAGAGAGAGAGAGAGAGAGAGAGAGAGAGAGAAAGATAGAGAGAAGGAGGAGGATAGAGAGAGAGAGAGAGAGAGAGAGAGAGAGAGAGAGAGAGAGAGAGACATGCAGACAGAGAAAGAAGAGGGATGCAAACAGGAGGAGAGATAGAGAGCGGGTCGCGCGAGGGTAAAGGAAGAAGAGAAAGAGAGGGTGAGACAAATTGCCAAGAGATCTCACTACGCCGCTTCTGTCCCCTTTCTTCCCTCTTGTGGTCGTTTTTTCCTCTTTCTTCCCTGGACTCGTCTCTTCTTCTAGTTCGCTCAGTTACCTACTATCTACGAGCGATGTCACGAGCGAAGCTTACCCCCAGTCGACGCGATCCAACCGGCGACGGTGGCTCCTGTCGTCTCGACGATTTCGCGAGAACGAGCGGAATTCACGGTATCCTCGCGCGCGATCGCTAATGGATTCGCGATCGGCGACGCGGCACAGCGGTAGCGGAATATCGGGCCGCTCTCTCACGCCGATATCCAATAATCTTGTCGCTGTTTTACGCGCGGCGAACAATTTGCACCTTCGCGAGGAAAATTGTTCCGCGCGGCGACGGCGGCGGCGGCGGCGGCAATTTGCGTAATTGGAATTTATATAATTACATCGCGATAATGCGATTGCTTCTTCCCATCTCCATGCGGATTAAGTTATCATAAAGCGTTACACCGAATTTCCCTGCGCACGCCGCTGGTATACTTTCCAATTACGCAATGCGATTACGGCCCCGCCGTAATAAGAACTTTTTCGTCCCTCGCAAACAACCGTTTTCTGGGGCTTTAGCTGTCCTTTCCTCTTACTCTCTTTCTTCCTTTCTTTTCTTTTCTTTTTTTCCATGCCGCGCCCGACGGAAACTTCCGTGACAACACAATCTCCGAACAACTATCCGCTTATCTTTCGCCCGCGTTTTACTTCCCGTTTTGTCCCCGTCTTTTTTTTTTTTTTAACGACGGCTTTTTATTACAAACGCCGGCGAGCGCGCGGCGAGTTCCGAAGCGGCGGCAGCGAAGTATCGCGTTGCTCTTCCGTCACTTGTCGCCGATTACTCGCACGACACCGTTTCCGAAATGATGTCGCGACTCTCTCGTCTAAAGACGAATTTGGGTCCGACTTCATCAACCCCGAGTACACCGTCCTCGGGAGGCGGAGAAATAGGGTCAACCTTTCGATTTGCTTTCCGTATCTATCTCTGTGCCGCTCGTCACGTCGCGTCTCCGCATGTATTCTCGCTACCTAATTGTCGCGAGGACGACAATTCATGCTCGGAAGTTGTACTCGATTAGTCACGCTTGCAGAAACGTCGCGGCGGAGGAGCGGAACAATTTGGCGAAATGTAAATTAGAAGTAGTTAAATCGCGATGCCCTCCTCCCATGCCCCGCTCGCAAGATTCCGAACGATAGCAAGCCTGTCTTGTTAGTGCGGCACAATTACGTCAGGCGTGTTGCGGAAATACAGGAAGAACACGACGGTATACTCGTAAAACGATATGCAACATACGTACGCGTACATGCACACACATTCACGCGTGTTCCACATGCGCTTAACAAGAGCTCGACGGAAAAAGTTTTCGTAATGGGATATCATGACCGGATGAAATAACATCGGCGAGTCTCCGCGGTATTGTATCGATCGTAGCGGGTGCCCGCGAAAAAAAAACAAAAGATTTAAGTAAACTATCCCCCATTCAAATCGCATTCGCAAAGATTACACCGGATAACTAACGACAATTCCGTGGGAGTTTCTCTTTTAAATAGCTCTCTAGTCGCGCGGAATCACGTTCCACGTTGATGTTCCTTGCAACAATTAGTTGCAGCAATAGATTGCAACAGCGTTTGGATCAAGCGTACTTTGTCGTCCCTCAAACAGGACAACGCTGCGATAACTGCTCTTCCTGCGACTGATAATGGTTTTTGCAATTAAAGGGGACGATCGATGGGAGGATTATATTGAAATTTTGCGCGGAAACGTAATTCGCAACATGAAATTCGGCTGCAATTTGATGTACGTCGCACGTATTGGTCGTGTGGTAGGAAATTTCAGATTTTTCGGATAAAATGAGACGAACTTGTTTTCGTTTCCTCAATTTTATAAAACGACACGAAGGCTGGCGGAGGACCATAAATCAAACGTACACATTGCTTCGTAAAATCATAATGACACAAAAATAAAGCGTTCCATCGTACCTGACGAAATCTAAAATTACACATTATCCGATCCAAGCGACGATATCAATTCATTTACACGCAAAACGATATACGATATATTGCGTAGGACAAGAAAACTAGTCACTTGCGAGTTGCAACAGCGATCAGAAAAGAATGGTTACAGCGAAAATGATCTAGATACAAGAAATTAGCTAAGACAGATAAATGAGCAAGCAAGCACTGCGATATCGGATGTACTTCGGATGTTTAATCAATACAGATGATGGAATTTCTATCTGAATTGTCTGCAAAAATATCTCCGTGACCCTCATTCAGATTAAGCCCAGTCACACACTTCTTACAAAAGCGATGGACAAAAAAGGACTAGCGACGAGAGGCCAAACGAATGCATCATCCTCGCGCCCACCTAAATTTGCCAGCAGGTACTCCGCTAAAATGTGCCGCTGCTGTAAATTCTACGTACCGCAGACAATTTTCTAGCAGATACAAAAAACAGCGATAAATTTCATGCGCGACATTCGGAATTCTACCAGGACTAGTGAAACATTTTTTTGAGTGATGTCTTGCGGGAGCAATCTACACAGGCACATTTCGGGGAGCCCATTTGTGTGAATGTTCCACAAGCTTCCGATGTGAATAGAAAATAGAAATTATGTAGCGCGGTGTAAGCAATAACGACTCCGGCTCGCAGGCGAGCTCTGCGCGCTGGCGATTCTAGTTCCGCGGGATAAAATCCCACGGGGCGAACCTGCCGTAATAGAATATCACGAGAGTAGTTCAAACAGGACGATCTCTTTAAAACTGAATAATATATCAACAACACAGAGAACTGCGGCTCGTAACTCATTCCTCTCTGAGGATTTTCCTATCGGCGAAACAGCGCGCGCATAATTCACGCGAAACGCCAGCCCGGTAAACTTTCGGCAGTGTCAACTTTATTAAATTAGAAAAATTAAAGAGACCTGAATATCCTACGTTCAGCTGAGGATGTAACATTGAAAAGAGAATTCCGACGAAAACGTATCGCGCGTTTCAGTATCGATCGTAGAATCTTCTCAGAATGATTTTATACGACTTAACCAACGTAGTAGGTAGAATTTGCAGCAGCATTCCAGCAATAATTAACAAACCGATATTTCCGATCGAAATACCGATGAATTTTTGTATCCGATCAGGTAACATCCAATAAGAAATATCGGTTTATAATTTTTTGATCGGTTTATCTGCTAAAATGCTATTTCGATCGGAAATATTCGATTAAATTTAATTATTTTATATCCTACTCAGATATAAAAATTTATCGGTATTTTAATTGAAAATATCCGTTCGTTAATTTCTTATCTGATAAGTTCTCTCAGTGAAGAAGTGTGATTGGTCTTAAATCTAGATGAACGTCAGAAGAATTCAGACTTTTGTGCTGAATTAGGCAAATAGTTCGCATTTAAATTCTGTCTCCATCGTCTCTATTGGTTAGACGCAACACATATGCGATATATAATATCGCAGTCATTTGCTAGTCATTTATCCATCTTAGCAAATCTCTCATATCTAGATAATTTTTGCTGTGACAGCGAGACCATCTTTCTGAGTGAAAGTCGTGCTTCCCCGTGACCGATTTTATTAAGACCGCAAGAGTTCTTCGTCGTGTTCTCTGAGACTGTTTCATGAAGAAAAAAATGTCACTCGGACGGAATCGATGGCCCGGGCCTTAAAGGGTGAACGCGTGAGAAAATATGACTTCCTCCGCGCACGCCTCTCTTCCCTCCAGCGATCAATCCTTCGATCAACATCGTGATCTGAGATCGATCAGCGAATCCACCACTGCGGTCTCTCCTGACCGATACCTTCGCACGTGTTCAATCTCGATGTTACACGGCCGTAATTAAAGATACACAAGTTGTTTTCGGAGGCGACGTCCACGTACGCTCGGCGCGCATTCTATTGCTCCCACGAGCGGCGTAACTTCGCGGATATGTCCCCGGGGATAAATCCGCGTGGCCCGTGTTCGAACCCACGTTACGGCGCTACCACGGGAACGTGTTTATTCCCGTCCTTCCACTGTTCTCTCCGCAAAGTCACTACCGTTTTCCAACGGCCACGCGCATCGGAAGAGCACGCATCATCGAATATCGCGTTCATCGTCGACGATGCAGGGAGAGCGTTGCAAGCGCACGCTGCAACGTGTACACGTTACATTTTACATTAAACGACACTGCACTACGTAGAATAGATCGGTCTCCTCCTCCCCTCTCTCTCTCTCTCTCTCTTTCTCTTTCTCTTTCGTTGTAGAAACGCGTCGTTGAGCAACGATTCCCTGTGATTTCAGAGCGAGCCACCGAGACAAGCCCGGAATCCACGCAGGAGACTGCGGATTACACGCACAATAGGCGCCCAAGGAGTTCAAGGTGAGATGAGGTCTAATCCCTTTGTAAAAGTCAAAGTGCCACCAACTGTTTAATCCCGACAAGTCGAACTCCTTCGGTTTACGCCGCCGCCGCCGCCGCAGTCGGGCTTTGCAACGCGTCTAATTTCAACGAGACACCTCCCGAGTAGAGATTAATCGGGATGGGCTTTAAGTATGTGATGGCCTTAGCCAGGGATGCCTCAAAATAGGAATGTCTTCGTAGATATGGCCAATACAGGCAAATTCTGAATGAAATTTCGTAAATAGAAATATATATGAATTGATGCTGACGTGAATCCACATAGACTAAAACTGTCTCGAAGTCTTTTTAAACGCCATTGTAAATTTCTATCCGGACTGATTTCAAGATTTCGTGGATTTTAATCGTCCACTCAAATCATCTCGGAAAGATCACGCGAGGGAGAAATCTCTTTTTCAGGAATGAGAGAGGAGAGAGGATTCCCTGCGACTATTTCGATCATTAGTCGAACGATAACAATCACTGTCGAGGAACAGTTCGAGTGTGTCATTTCCGTAATGATCCATCCGAGAAATCAGAAGATCCTGGAGACTAACAGTTCATTGCGGATTGTTCTCGTCAACCAGAGTTTCAATCTTTCTTCGTGGCGACGTGCAGACGCGCGTGTATGTGTGTGTACTTTTTTTATTTAATTTAATTCGTCAGCGACGGTTTTGCTTTTAATGCTCGCAGTGGTAAATTAAAAAGTCGAAAACGCTTTGACAGAAAAAGAGGAACTAACAAAAGAGGATTAACCACGACGGCGACAGCGACGGTGGCGACGACGGCGGCGGCGGTAACTTTTTTCGATATAAATATGTATGCCGGCAAGCTACACTATAATCCGCAAAGCGCTAATGAAGAAGGATCGATGACAGGAACGAGAGAGAGAGAGAGAGAGAGAGAGAGAGAAAAGAATAAAAAAAGACGTCGCCGGCACAAAGGGTGATTCGTTTGGTTCATCGGGGTGGCGTTGGCGGGGGAGGGTGTGGCGACGGGAGGACAGGGATCAGCGTTTCGTAACTCGCTAGCAATTTGCAGGCGTTTTGTCGCCGCGGCGACGGCGGAAGCGATCCGTGCCGCCCTCGTCGCCGGGATATCGTGATCTCCCGACGGGGTAAAACAGCGTGAGAAGGGTGAAAGAGGCCAGCTACGAATTAGGGGGTGCGCCGTCGACCAGCTGGAGGTAGGAAAAATCGAAGAAACGAAGGGTCAAATGCCACGTGATGGATAGCTCGCCGTAGGAGGTCCAAGCGTATGAAATTGATCAGCCAGCCAGAATCATTCGATTCTACTTCCTACCCGCCCTCTCCCTTTCCCTGGTGTTACCCAATCCTCCCTGTCGCCCTCTTCCTTGTATCTCTCTCTCTTTCTCTCTATCTCTCTCGCTCGCTCGTTTTCCCTCGTCGACCTCTCGCTCCCCAGCCCCTTGTTTCTTTCGTTCCATTCATTTTCCTTCCGCGTCGTACGACGTCGATAACTCTGATTCTCCCGGATCGCCCACCTCCGCCTTGGCGGTGTTTTATTTTCACGGTCTCGACCAATGGCCGCGGTCCACGGCCGATTGCCGATGGCAATACTCTCGAGAAAATTCATGTAGCATGTAAGAAAAATTACGGCTCCTCTGCTTTTCCGTGAACAGCCGGTTTAACGAGAAAGAGCACGAGAAAGGGAGAGAGAAAGAATGAGTGAGAGAGAGAGAGAGAGAGAGAGAGAGAGAGAGAGAGAGAGAGAGAGAGAGAGAGAGAGAGAGAGA